CTTTCTTTTTTTTTCTTTTTGAGATGGAGTCTCACTCTGTTGCTCAGGCTGGAGTGCAGTGGCGCGATCTTGTCTCACGGCAACCTCTGCCTCCCAGGTTCGAGCACTTCTTCCTGCTGCAGCTTCCCAAGTAGCTGGAACTACAGGCTCCCATCACCACACTCGGCTAGGCAATTTTTCTAACTGTACATTTTATTTTCCTTCCTTCCTCCCGGACACTCTGTGCTCCAGTACCTTGGAATGCCCTGCCTTCCCCAATCACTCCTAAACTGCCTGCTCGCTTGCTTTTGCTTGCACTGTGCCTCCTGACTGCAAATCCCTCTCCATCATCTGTCGTCGTTTGCTGAAATACAATTATCTTTCAGCATCAGCTTGTTGCCACCTGTAGTGCACGTTATGTTTTTGTTGCTTTCCAGCTGTTAGCTGCATCCTGACTTTGCTTTGCAGAGTCACCTCTCTGCCACTCACACCATCTGCTTCGGGTGCTCTTGCCATCTGCAAATCTGTCCCCAGTACTGCAGGGGTTGGCATGTTTCTCCTCTGGCCACAGTGATTAGGGGTGGTGTGTGACCCAAACTGGCTCAAGGAGGCCAATCCCAGGACTTTTTGTGAGAAATATCAGGAAAAATGTGCTTTCTTTCCCCTGGGATTGCTAGGCTGCTGGGGCATAAGCCGTAAGCTATAAGCCTTTGGCCTGTAATCCCAGCACTTTGGGAGAATGAGGTGGGCGGATCATGAGGTCAAGAGATCAAGACCATCCTGGCCAATATGGTGAAATCCCATCTCTAATAAAAATACAAAAATTAGCTGGGTGTGGTGGCATGTGCCTTTAATTCCAGCTACTTGGGAGGCTGAGGCAGGAGAAGTGCTTGAACCCGGGAGGCAGAGGTTGCAGGGAGCTGAGATCGCTCCACAGCACTCCAGCCCGGTGACAGAGCAAGACTCCATCTCGAAAAAAAAAAAAAAAAGATACAAGTCATTGCTATCTATCCTGCCACTACAGTGGAAATTGCTGCCTGAGAATAAAATCAAGAGAAAGAGAGACAGAGAGACTTCATAACATAACATCCTTTTTTTTTTTTTTTTTTTTTTTGATACGGAGTCTTACTCTGTTGCCCAGGATGGAGTACAATTGTGTGATCTTGGCTCACTGCAACTTCTGCCTCCTGGGTTCAAGCAATTCTCCTGCTTCAGCCTCCCAAGTACGTGGGATTAAAGGTGTGCCACCATGCCCAGCTAATTTTTTGTATTTTTTAGTACAGCCAGGGTTTCACTATGTTGGCCAGGCCGGTCTCAAACTCCTGACCTCAGGTGATCGACCTGCCTTGGCCTCCCAAATTGATGGGATTACAGGCGTGAGCCACCGCATCCAGCCCCATAACATCCTTTAAGGCCCTGGATTCAGCCATACCTGAACATCTACTTCTTTTTAGCTTAGCCAGGCTGAGCCTTCCCGAAGATAGCTCTCATGCTGCCTTCCCATGGCTTTGCTCACCCCTCCTTTGGAAGCAGAATTAGGTTAATCTGAATGCTCAGTCTGGAAGGACAAACTGGGCATGCTCTGCCCAGCCACTTCCCCTCCCCTTTCTCTTGGAAAGCAGCTCTTCTGCCCCTTTCTACCATAGTTTTATATGATCAGGCTCTGCCCACACAGAAGCCCACTCTCCTCCTGACGTATCTGTGAGGGTACATCACAAAACGGGCTTGGTATGTTTAAATCTGTGCTTCAGTATTCTGTACAACCATATTTGGCTACATCTACAAGCCACATTCTCCAACATTCACTGATAAGTAACCCTTATAATACTGTCATGCACCGCATGACAATGTTTCAGTCAATGATGGACCGCCTATACAATGATAATACCATATTTTTACTGTATCTTTTCTATGTTTAGATACACAAATGTCTTTGTGTCACAGTTGCCTACAGTATTCAGTACAGTTACATGTTTTGCAGGTTTGAAGCCTAGGAGAAATGGGCTGTACCCTATAGCCTAAGTGTGCAGTAGACCATACCATCTAGCTTTGTGTAAGTGGACTCTAACGTTTGCACAACCGCAAAATGGCCCAACCATATGTTTCTCAGAATGTAATGCTGTCATCAAGTAACACATGACTGTACTTAGATACTCCATCTTCTTTACTCTTTTAATTTTATTTTTTAAATTTTTTTATTTTTTGAGACGGAGTTTCGCTCTTGTTACCCAGGCTGGAGTGCAATGGCGCGATCTCGGCTCAGCGCAACCTCCGCCTCCTGGGTTCAGGCAATTCTCCTGCCTCAGCCTCCTGAGTAGCTGGGATTACAGGCACGCGCCACCATGCCCAGCTAATTTTTTGTATTTTTAGGGGAGATGGGGTTTCACTATGTTGACCAGGATGGTCTTGATCTCTTGACTTGGTGATCCACCCGCCTCGGCCTCCCAAAGTGCTAGGATTACAGGCGTGAGCCACCGTGCCCGGCCCTTACTCTTTTATTTTTTTACTCTTGGACAAAAAAATAAAAAAAAAAATCCCGGTATTTCCAACAGAAAGGCTTTAATGTAGGAAATTGGTTAAAATATGCATTAGTGGCCCAGCGCAGTGGCTCACGTCTGTAATCCCAGCACTTTGGGAGGCCGAGTGGGTGGAACAAGAGGTCAAGAGATCAAGACCATCCTGGCCAACATGGTGAAACTCTGTCTCTACTAAAAATACAAAAATTAGCTGGGTGTGGTGGCACGCACCTGTAGTTCCAGCTACTCAGGAGGCTGAGGCAGAAGAATCACTTGAACCTGGGAGGTGGAGACTGCAGTGAGCAGAGATCTCACCACTGCACTCCAGCCTGATGACAGAGCAAGAACCCATCTACAAAAAAAATGCATTACTATCTATTGCTGTGTAAGAATTTAGCTCAAAACATAGTGACTTAAAACAACAGTAATCATTTACTGTCTTTCATGGTTTCTGCAGGTCCAGAATTTGAGAGCAACATGACTGAGCAGTTCTGATACATGGTTTTTCATGATATTGCAGTCAAGATATTGGCTGGGGATGTAGTCATCTGAAGGCTCGGCTGGGGCTGAGGAATCTTGCATGGCTGCTGGTGGGAAGCCACAGCTTCTTGCCACATGGGGTCTCTCCCAGAGCTGCTTGAGTGTCCTCATGACATGATAGCTGGTTTTCCAGAGGAAGTGATTCACGGGAACAAGGCAACAATGCTTTAAAAAAAAAAAAAAAAAAAAGCAATGAAGGCTGGGTGCAGAGGCTCAGGCCTGTAATCTCAGCATTTTAGGAGGCTGAGGCAGGTGGATTGCTTAAGGTCAGGAGTTCAATACCAGCCTGGCCAACATGATGAAACCCTGTCAATGCAGCGACACAATCTTGGCTCACTGCAAGCTCTGCCTCTCGGATTCAAGCTATTCTCGTGGCTCAACCTCCTGAACAGCCGGGAATATAGGCATGCACCACCATGCTGGCTAATTTTCTTTTTTTAGTAGAGACAGGGTTTTGCCATGTTGGCCAGGCTGGTCTCAAACTCCTGGCCTCAACTGATCCATCTGCCTCAGCCTTTCAAAGTGCTGGGATTACAGGTGTGAGCTACCAGACCCTGCCAAATGTTTATAGCAGCATTAATAATGGCCAAAACTGCCAGGTGCCGTGGCTCATGCCTGTAATCCCAGCACTTTGGGAGGCCAAGGCAGGCAGATCACGAGGTCAGGAGATCAAGACCATCCTGGCCAACATGGTCAAACACTGTCTTTACTAAAAATACAAAAAAATTAGCTGGATGTGGTGGAGCTTCCAGTGTTTTCAGACATTGGAATTTAATGTATTCAGGTATGACATCCTATGACCCAGTCTGCCACAATCCTCCCCACTCCTCCTGCCAATGCTAGTGCCATCTCTGATTCATACAACTGCCTGATCCCTGAAGGTGTTTGAATTTGAGTCCCATGATTTATATAATAAAACCCTACAATATACAATTCACTGTGTTCCACTGAGATCCTAAAAATGTCCACTCTTTATTTATTTATTGGAGACAGAGTCTCACTCTGTCACAAAGGCTGGAGTGCAGTGGCACTATCACAGCTCGGCTCACTGCAGTCTGGACCTCCCAGCCTTGGGTGATCCTTCCACCTCAGCCTCTCAAGCAGCTGGTACTACAGGTATGTGCCACCATGCCTGTCTAATTTTTTTTGTATTGTTTGTAGAGATGGGGTCTTGTTATGCTGCCCTGGCCAGTCTTGAACTCATGGACTCATGGCAATCCGCCCACCCCTTGGCCTCCCAAAGTGCTGAGATTACAAGGGTGTGGCATTGTGCCCAGCCCCACATTTTAATTACCTGATAGGTGGACCTAGAATATTATTTAATCAGTTCAAAGCATTCTTCTGCAGTTGGGTTGCTTGGGAAGTCAAAAAGAGTTGTATAGGCTAGGCATGGTGGCTCATGTCTATAGTCCCAGCACTTTGGGAGGCTGAGGTGGGGCAGATCACGAGGTCAGGAGATGGAGACCATCTGGCCAACATGGTGAAACCCCGTCTCTACTAAAAATGCAAAAATTAGCTGGGTGTGGTGGCATGCGCCTGTAGTCCCAGCTACTTGGGAGGCTGAGGTTGCAGTTAGCCGAGATCATGCCACTGCACTCCATCCTGGTGACAGAGCAAGACTACGTCTCAAACAAACAAACAAACAAACAAACAAAAAGCTAGGCATGGTGGTTGACGCCTGTAATCCCAGCACTTTGGGAGGCCAAGGTGAGAGAATTGCTTGAGCCCAGGAGTTCAAGACTAGCCTGGGTAACACAGGGAGACTTCCACCTCTACAAATAGTAAAAACAAAACAAAACAAAACAAAAAATAAACAAAAAAACTAGCTGGACGTGGGTGCTTGTGTCTCTGGTCCCAGCTACTCCAGAGCCTGCGGTGGGAGGATTGCTTGAGCCCAGGAATGCAAGGCTGCAGTGAGCCGAGATCATGCCACTGCACTCCAACCTCAGTGGCAAGAGACTCCACGTCAGAAAAAAAAAAAAAAGAGCCCAGGATTTTGGACTGTGCAGGGGTCAGTGCCCCTAACCCCCGTGTTGTTCAAGGGTCAGCTGTACATTGTCACAGGCAGGAAGCCTGCATCATGGCAACGGCTCCTGTTTCTTGAAACCTGAAGTGGGAAACTGGATCCTGGGATACTACTGCCCCCTATTGCCTGCTGGTCTTCAAAGAAATAATCCCTTCAATTTTGCAAGGACTGTGGTGTCATTCCCTTTTTACAGATAAGGAAACTGAGGCCAGGACGTGGTGGAAAATAATCACGGTCACACAGCTATGTGAGTGACCTTGGGAGTAGCAACCCAGGCTCCTCATTCCCAGATCAGCCCAGTGACCTCGACTGACATGTGTGAAGTCCTTCTGTGGCCCTGTGGCAGGGCCTGAGAGGACAGCCTACTTAGATCAAGTCTGGTGCCTTCATGAGGGAGGCAGAGTAGAAAATAACTGTCATTCACTAGGAAGAAATCTGCATTGTAAACACAGAGGAAGGGGTATTTGGCAAAAGGATGTCTAGGAACATATTAGAGATAAGAGGTGACATTTGGGTTCTGAGGGATGAATAGGAGTATGCCAGGGTGCAAAGGATGAAAAGACAGCTCCAGCAGCTGGCAAGGGGTATGGAGATGCAGCAAGACTTTGGGGAAATTGTAGAATTCTAACTTCGGGAGATTTGAACAAGGTAATTTTGTGTGTGTGGTTAAGGTATTACATACATACAGTGAAATAAAATGCAATAGTTGTGGGCGCAGTGGCTCACGCCTGTAATCCCAGCACTTTGGGAGGCCAAGGCAGGTGGATCACCTGAAGGTCAGGAGTTAGAGACCAGCCTGGCCAACATGGTGAAACCCCGTCTCTACCAAAAATATGAAAATTAGCTGGGCGTGGTGGCAGGTGCCTGTAATCCCAGCTACTCGGGAGACTGAGGGAAGAGAATCGACTGAACCTGGCAGGCAGAGGTCTCAGTGAGCTGAGACAGGGCATTGTGCTCCAGCCTGGGTGACAAGGGAGAAACTCCGTCTCAAAATAATAATAATAATAATAATAATAATAATAATAATAATGATGCAACAGTCTAATTGATTTTTTAAAAACATGTAGACATCCATGTATCCACCACCTAGGTAAAGATACTGGGCATTCCAGCAATCCGGGAGGAACTCTCGTGCCCATTTCAGGTCTATATGAACCTCCACCGCTCCCCAGTCCCCAGGAAGTAGAGGGAGAGGCCAACGTAAAACCTAAAAACCAGCGGATTTCGCGCCTGTAATGCCAGCTACTGGGTTGGATGAGGCAGGAGGATCACCTGCCCAGGAGTTGGAGGCTGCAGTGAGCTATGATCTTGCCACTACACTCTAGCCTGGGCGGCAGATCAAGACCCCGTGTCTAAGCAAACAAATAAACACCCCTCAAAAACCTTGGCTTTAGGCCTGGCGCAGTGGCTCACTCCTGTAATCTCAGCACTTTGGGAGGCCGAGGCGGGCGGATCACTTGAGGTCAGGAATTCGAGATCAGCCTGGCCCACATGGCGAAACCCGGTCTCTTCTAAAAAATACAATTAACCGGGCGTGGTGGCTCACGCCTGTAATCCCAGCTATTCGGGAGACTGAGGCACGAGAATCGCTTGAACCCGGGAGACGGAGGTTGCTAGAGCCGAGATCACGCCACTGCACTCCAACTTGGGCGACAGAGCGAGACTCCGTCTCAAAAACCAAACCAAACGAAACAACACAACCTTGGTTTCGGCCCGCACATTCCCTTCACTCCTATCGCTGCCAGCAAATCGTTCGCAACCTTCCTGGACAGTGCTAAGAGGGCACTGCAGAGGCGTCTGGACACTGCCGTTTTCCTGGGACGTCCACGTGAATTTTAGTTCGGGCGCTAAAGGACTAGGGAAAACCTTTTGGTCCTTTGGAGCTGCCGTCCAGGCTCGGGCCGCGCAGAGCCGCTTGTCCCTCGGCGGCTGCCGTGCGTCCGTTACGTGGCAGCTGCCGGGGCCCGCCAATCCACTGCGCCCGCATCAGCCCCCTCGGGTGGCGCAGGCGGAAGGGGCGGAGCTTAGGCGGCGGCGGCCGAGAAGGCGGCGGGGCGGCGGCGGCGGCGGCGGCGGCTCCGGAGGCCGCAGTCCGAGTCCTGGCTTCGGCCTCAGCCCCACCATGGTGACGCTTGCTGAACTGCTGGTGCTCCTGGCCGCTCTCCTGGCCACCGTCTCGGGCTACTTCGTTAGCATCGACGCGCATGCCGAGGAGTGCTTCTTTGAGCGGGTCACCTCGGGCACCAAGATGGGCCTCATCTTCGAGGTGGCGGAGGGCGGCTTCCTGGACATCGACGTGGAGGTGCGGGCGAGCTGCCCGCGGCCGAAGCTTGGTCGCGTGGCCGCTCGGGGATTGCTGGCACCTGGGGCCGGCGCGGTGCCTGCTTGGGGAGCGGGCTTGGAAGTCGCTGTCCGATTCCTGGAGAAACTCGGGCCGCCACCCCCCCGCCCCGCCCCGGCCACGGCGACCTCCTAACGGCACCTTTTCCCGCGACTTGCCGGAATTGCGGGATTCCTTCGGGGCTCCTTCGGCATGCTTGGTTGCTTTGGGTTCTCTCCTTGAACGACGGGTTCCCGTTGGAACCTCTCGCCGAGCCTTGTGAATCAGGCGCCGCGTGTCAGTCCGGGCCCCGAAGGCGCTTCTCAGTCGCGGTTAGCTGGTGGCGGGTCTCGATCCAGTTAGCACCTGCTTTCTTTGGTGTTATGGATTAATGTTCGAACGTGGCACGGAAACTCTTCCAAAAAGTAGATTAAAATCTATTAAGGATTAAAAAAAAAAAAACTACTGAGGAATGCTAGGCATACTTTCGCGTTGTGTTTATTTTTCACAGGAGCAACCTTAAGGTTCTGCTCACATTTACTCAAATGTGAGCATCTAGCGATCTCGTTTAGTCTTCTCTGCCTAGGAGAGATGGAGAATTGGGTCATTCGTTCAGGAGTAAGAAGTGAAGTGAAGTATCAGGAGAAAACAGGAAATTAAGAAACCAGCAGTCCCTAAGTCTCCGCTCATATTTTTTGTTGTTGTTGTTGTTGTTGTTTGTTTTTTTGAGACACAGTTTCACTCTGTCGCCCAGACCTGGAGTGCAGCAGCACAATCTTGGTTCACTGCAACGTTCTCCTCCCGGGTTCAAGCATTTCTCCTGCCTCAGCCTCCCAAGTAGCTGGAAATACAGGCGCGCACCACCACATCTAGCCAATTTTTGTATTTTTAGTAGAGACGGGGTTTCACCATGTTGGCCAGGATGGTCTCCAACTTCCGACCTCAGGTGACCTGCCTACCTTGGCTTCCCAAAGGGCTAGGATTACAGGCGTGAGCCACGGCGCCCAGCCTCCACCCATGTGGTTTTAAACCAGAAGAGTGACGTGTTGCTAATTTGTATTTTAACTCACCTGCCAGCATGATTAATTGGGTCTAAGGAGTTTCCATTTGACAGTGTACTCAGTAGGGCTGGGCACAAGTTACACAATACAAGTGAAATTCAAAAATGAGGGGATAGTGGAAGGGAGAGACTGTTAGACTTAGCTAAGAATTCCAGTCTCGAAGTTGTGCAAGTGACATGGACTTTAAAAGAGCTACTGACTTGACCACAACCTAACAGCTGATTTGTAGCAGTCTGAGATGAGAATTTTCTCATTGCCAGGCCTGTCTTTTCCTTTAAGACTTCAGGCATCTGAGATAAAGCAGAATTCCTTCACTGTTTGGTAGAAATCTGGAAAACCTTGAAATTTGATTTGACAGGAATTCATTTTGTTTATATTTTTTAAAACCACAAATATTATCTCTCATGGTTTCTGTGGCCAGGAATTACGGAGAGGCTTAGTTGGGTGGTTCTGGCTTCGGGTTTCTCATGAGGTTGTAATCAAGATGTCAAGCAGAGATGCAGAAATTTTTCGTTTTAAAGAGATGTATTTTTACTTGAGTTTTGTTATCAGTCACAGTTGCATGTTTGTTGGTAATATTAGGCCAGTTGGAGACCACATTGAAAGTGAGGTTTCTGTTTCTGAGGGGTTTAATAAGGACAAATAAGACATAAATGTCAGAACCAAAAGGTGTTTTAGGGAGTCATGAAGACAATCCTTGTTTTATAAAGTGAGAGAACTGCAGCCCAAAATGGTTATTATCACTTACTGAAGTGGAGCTAAGTGTAAGTTACATATTCTTGGTGAATTTCTTTCCTTTTTTTTTTTTTTCCCCCGAGATGAGTCTGTCTCTGTTGCCCAGGCTGGAGTGCAGTGGTGCCATCTCGGTTCACTGCAACCTCCACCTCCTGTGCAATTTTCCTGCCTCAGCCTCTGGAGTAGCTGGGTTTACAGGCGAGTACCACCAGGCCTGGCTAATTTCTGTATTTTTAGTAGAGGTGGGGTTTCACCACATTGGCCAGGCTGATCTTGAACTCCTGACCTCAGGTGATCTGCCTGCCTGGGCCTCCCAAAGTGCTGGGATTACAGACGTGAGCCACCATGCCTGGCCATATTCTTGGTGAATTTCTTACTGCCATTAGACATTACTTATAAATTTATGACTGTAAAGCTTTTGTGACATTTTCTGTATCTCTCTCTTGCCTCCAGATTACAGGACCAGATAATAAAGGGATTTACAAAGGAGACCGAGAATCCAGTGGAAAATACACATTTGCTGCTCACATGGACGGAATATACAAATTTTGTTTTAGTAATCGGATGTCTACCATGACTCCAAAAATAGTGATGTTCACCATTGATATTGGTGAGGCTCCAAAAGGGCAAGACATGGAAACAGAAGGTGAGATGAACATTCAGAAGATTTATATCGCATTCCATGAGCTCATTTTAGTTCTATACAATTTTACCTGAGTGGAATACTTATTTTTTTAAATTTCTTAGCCAAAAACTACTGTGAAATGTGCTTTTTACTTTTTACAAGTCTCCTAATAAAAAAAAGTTTCTTGAAGCTAGTATTTATGTATTTATTATTTATTTATTTATTTATTTATTTTTATTTATTTTTTTTTTGCCCAGGCTGGAGTGCAATGGTATGATCTTGGCTCACTGCAACCTCCGCCTCCTGGGTTCAAGCGATTCTCCTGCTTCAGCCTCCCCAGTAGCTGGGACTACAGGCATATGCCACCATGCCCAGCTAATTTTTGTATTTTTAGTAGAGATGGGGTTTCACCATGTTGGGCAGGCTGGTCTCAAACTCCTGACTTCAGGTGATCTACCCGCTTTGGCCTCCTAAAGTGCTGGGATTTTTTTGTTCTTTACGTTTGTCTTTCTGACAGGTTTTCTTAGTCACTTTGTGCTCTTCTGAGCATGTAGGTTCCGTGTGTCTTAAGATTTTTTTTTCTGTTTATTTGCTAATCCTGGCATATACTTTATTTACTCGTTTGTATACATGACTAGTTTAGCTAAACTTTCTGTCGGCTCTTTCTGTGTTAAGTTATCTTAACTTTCCTTCAGGTGGTGGAGATACCTGGGATGGTATGTGGATTGCTTTTTGACAGCATCTTTTTCTGCATCTTTTTGTTTGCTAATGTCTAATTTCTGCTTTCTTTTTTTCTAACCTCAGTTTGTTGGCATGAGAGTGTTTTTTTCTCTTAAATCCCTACAACTAATTGGGTTTATTTTTTTATTTTTTATTTGGTTGACAGGAGGTATAGGTTAGTTTATTTTAAACTAAGCACCGAGAACACAGTGATTGGCAGTTTAGTAGTAATATCTTTGTTCTTTAAAATAAATGCTAAAGAGTGAAAATTCAAGGATAAGGAGACAGAAGTCCCAAATAAACGTAGCTCATAGCAGATGGCGCCTTTGACTTTGTAGAAAGTATGTGGTAGACTTCCTAACCTGAAGCTTGGTTGGATATGAAATGCAGTTCTAGGAGCCATATGTTGACATGAAGACCAAAGTTCTTTTAGCCTTATGTTGCAGTTAAACCGTTTATTATTTAGGTTACCAGTAATAAACCCTGATTGGTTCTTGGTGGTTCTGGATAAATTGCTTATCGGGAGCCAGAACATTTGGTGTTTTTTTTTTTCCCCACAGTGCCTGCCAGGGTTTTTTTTTTTTTTTTTTGAGACGGAGTTTCGCTCTTGTTACCCAGGCTGGAGTGCAATGGCGCGATCTCGGCTCACCACAACCTCCGCCTCCTGGGTTCAGGCAATTCTCCTGCCTCAGCCTCCTGAGTAGCTGGGATTACAGGCAGGCGCCACCATGCCCAGCGAATTTTTTGTATTTTTAGTAGAGACGGGGTTTCACCATGTTGACCAGGATGGTCTCCATCTCTTGACCTCGTGATCCACCCGCCTCGGCCTCCCAAAGTGCTGGGATTACAGGCTTGAGCCACCGCGCCCGGCTTGCCTGCCAGGGTTTTTGAAGCCAGTCATTGTTCAACACATTTCATAGTATAATATTAGCATGGTAACATTTGTCCCAGATACTCAGTATTAGTAGATTGCTAACATCATAAAGAAGCTGAGTTGTTTGGTTAGATTTTGAAATATATGCAATGTAGAGTCCTACTACTTAGTAATTCCTGTGCTCATTTTTCAGGGTCATTTACAGGGTAGGACTTGACTAATTTTCAGGGAAAATGAGGAGTTCTGAAAGGCTTTTTTCATTTATTTTCTGGAGATTGATCCTATTTAAATAGTTTGAAAATGTTGATTGATGAATGTGAATATTGAACTTCTTAGATAATTTTTTAACATATATCAAAAATTATTGCTTTTGCTTGTTACTGTCAGTGAATGGTAGCTGTCAAATCAAGCCTTCCTCTAAAGCAGTGGTTCTCAAGTGAGGATGGTCTTTATGCTTCAGGGGATATTTGGCAGTATGTGGAGGCATTTTTTTATTCTGAAGACTGCATGGGTATGTGCTTCTGGC